AGCACTGCCACCCAGAACTGTGACCCAGATCCACACATGGGCAAAGCAAGAGATTCCTGCCTCAGCAGTGGCAAAGAGATCCCTGCAGTCCCTCTCTGATCAGCCACTGGATTCCCCCTCAGTCTGTGGGCTGGAAGCTCAGGAAGCAGCTGCCCCCCCCAGGGCCAGGCTTTGGGGAATGGAGTTGAGATCCCGCCTTCCTCTCTGACCACCGACAGAAACAGACTTTTCCTACTGACCTTCTAAGTTGTCTTTGGCATTCGTGGATTGAGGAGTCTGGAAACCTCCACAGCTGCCCGTGATTCAGTCCTCTGAGGCCTGCTCCAGGTTTGCTGCGGCCTGCGCGCCCACACTGCGCTGTGCTGTGCTCCCAGCCCGGCGCAATACACCTTTCTGATCAGTCATCCAGGTTGTCTTGGGCTGGAAATTTGTTTCACTCTGTCTTTTTGTGGGTTCTGCTGCTTCAGAATTTATTTAGAGCCATTTTTATGAGTATTTGGAGGGGTTTGGGGGAGAACTCAAGCAAGTCACTGTTTTCACTCCACCATCTTGGCTCTGCCCCCTAATTGCATAATTTTAAATTGCTTTTTAGAATGGTTATTCATGGCTACACTAACAAGGAATTTGTATGCTTGTCTTTCTACAAACCCTCCAACATTGAATGTTTCTATCTTTCGTCACCTTTGCCCATTTGCTATATGTGAAAGGAAACCTTAGGGCTGTTTTGATTGCTTTTAGAATTGTATCCCCAGCACTTGGCACATAGAAAATGCTTAATAAATGCTTTTTATTCATTTTTTTCATTCATTCATCCAGAGGGAACACTTGCCTATTCTCTTACTACTCTAGCTCCATGGTTTTCAAACATTTTGATCATGGGATTCCTTTACACTCTTAGAAATTTTTCAGGACCCCCAAGAGTTTTTGTTGATATCTTAACAATATTTACTATATTAGAAATTGAAACTGATAAATGCTTAAAATATTTATTCATTCACAATAATAATGAACTCATAAATTGCATGTTAACATAAATAACACTTTTACTAAAAATCACTATATTTTCCCAAAAATTAATAAGAGAGTGGCACTACTTTACATATTTTTTGCAAATCTCTTTAATATCTGCTTAACAAAGATAAATGGATCCTCATGTCTGTTTTTCTACATTTGATATGGTGCTTTGATTGAATTATATTTTCTTCAGTATTTTTTTCGGTCCCCTTTAGCAAGCTGTTGACTTGTTTTTCATGATTTTCTTGCATTACTCTCATTTCTCTTCCCAGTTTTTCCCCTACTTCTCTTACTTGTTTCTCAAACTCCTTTTTGAGCTCTTCCATGGCCTGGGACTGATTCATATTTTTCTTGGAGGCTTTGGACGTAGGAGCTTTCACTTTGTTGTCTTCTTCTGGTTGTATGTTTTAATCTTCTTTGTTACCAAAGAAATATTATATGGTCTGACTTTTTTTGGACCTTTGTTTATTCATGATTCCAGCCAATTACTTGAGTTTTAAACTCTTTGTTAAGGTAGGGGTCTGTTTCCAGTGTGGAGAATGTACTGTCCCAGGCTTTGGAGGGTTTTGTGCAGCTATTTTCAGAGACACTTCTAGGGACCTGTAAATTTTCAGTTCTACCAAGGTGGTATGATAAGGGGCAAGGTGTTTACTCCTTTCTGGCTTATGCTCTGGTCTGTGAGTGACCACAAGCACTCTTTTCTGCCTTGGATCTCTGAGGAGGATTTTCTCTTTACCACCACTACAAGCTCCACTACACCAGCACTTCTCCTCGCCCCAGGACCGTCATCCAGAACTGTGACCCAGATCCAAGCATGGGCAAAGCAAGAGAATCCTGCATCAGCAAAGAAATACTTGCAATCCCCGTCTGATCAGCCACTTTATTCCCCCTCAGTCTGTGGGCCAGAAGCTCTGGAAGCAGCTGCCACCCCGGGGTCGAGCTTGGGGACTGAGGCTGGTACCCTGCTTCTCTCTCTCACTGCAGACAGACTTTTCCCGCTGACCTTCTAAGTTGTCTTTGGTGCTTGTGGGTTGAGATGTCTGGAAACTGCCACAGCTACCTATGATTCAGTCCTCTGCGGCCTGCTCCAGGTTCACTGAGGCTTGCCTTACCTGTGTGACCACACTGAACTGCAGTTGTCTTCTAGCCCGGCATGATATACCTTTCTGATCAGCCATCCAGGCTGTTTTGGGCTGGAAATTTGCTTCACTCTGTCTTTTTGTGGGTTGTGCTGCTTTAGAATTTGTTTAGAGCCATTTTTTATAGGTATTTGGAGGGGTTTGGCTTGGTGGAATTATATGAAGAAAATCTAGCCTCACAGAGACATGTAGTTGGAAAAGAGAGGAGTATTTCAATCGGCTAATAATGTCTTAGTAATATTATGAAAATAGTTTTATTCTCTATGACTCCTTTAAGGGGTCCTAAGCAAGGCATGCAGGAACCAGCTCAAACCAGCTTTAGAGAGTCAATTATTAAATTTTCAGTGTGAGCATCTATACCTCAGAACTATAAACCAAGACTTGATTTATTGTTCTATTGATAGTCTACACTTAAGAAAGTGATGGACAAAATATTAATAATGCAGAATAAACTTTTTTTTTAAATTTATGGAATAAAAAAAGTATTTCCATAACATAGTACAATAAAAAAAAAAAGATGATTGTACATGAAACTGCAAACCTACTATGCGAACTTGGTATTCCTTCAAATATACAACAAAATTATCATGTAAATCTTTTTTTTTATTTCCTTCCCTGCCCTAGAAATGGTTATCCTTAGACACAAACAGGTATATATGTAAAACTATTCTATACATGCTTCTATTTGTCAGTTCTTTCTCGGGATGCAGATAGTGTCTTTCCTCCATCCTTTATAATTAATTTGGATATGTATGATACACAAAATAACTTAGTCACTCAAAGTCATTCTTAAAACAATATTACTGTTGCTTTATATAATGTTCTCTTGGTTCTGCTTATTTTGCTCTTCATTATTTCATGAAAGTCTTTCCATGTTTTTTCTAAAATCATTGAGCTCATCATTTCTTATAGCACAATAGTATTTCATCACAGTCATATGCCACAACTTGTTCAGTCATTCCCCAATTGATGGGCATCCCTGCAATTACCATTTTTGCCACCACAAAGAGAGCTGTTATAAACATTTTGGAACATATAGGTTCTTTTCTTTTTTTCCTAATCACCTTTGGAAGTAGCCCAAGTAGTGGTATTGCTGGATCAAAGGGTATAGGTAGCTTAATAACTCTTTGGGCATATTTCCAAATCTTCCTACAAAATGGTTAGATCAGTTCACAGTTCCACCAACAATGAATTAGTGTCCCAATTTTTCCACATCCTCTCCAACATCTGTCACTTTCCCCTTCTATCATTTTAGCCAATCTGGTAGGTGTAAAATGATATCTCAAGATTCTTTTAATCTTCCTTTCTCTAATCAATAATGATTGAGAGCATTTTTTTTATGTGACTATAAATTGTTTTGATTTCTTCATTGGAAAACTGCCTGCTCAAATCTTTTCACCATTTATCAGAATAAACTTTAAGATGTGTCTGTGGAGATCTGGTTGTTTACCAGTATAGCCCTTTTAAGAACACTTCCTTAGACCAAAGATGCACAGAAGTCCTTATGGGAATTCTATTTATTTCAATGGGGGTAGAATATAAGTCTGAGCTCAGTGTTGGTTGTCCAGTAGATTAGCCACATTTGACAGAATGTTTTTGTGATTGAGATGCATTCTTGGAGCACACTAAATATGGATAATTGACCCTTCTCTTGGTTATGGAGGATCTCACTTTGCAAGGAAGTGATTCAGGAGGCAATTAATATAGGAGACAAAGAAATATCTCTACCAACTACTGCTATGATTGATATGAAGTGTACGTACATCCCATACAAACAGCCTCAAATGTTCTGATCATCAACAAAGCAAAGTGTATGAGTGCAACCATCCTTTCTCCTGTTTGCACATTCTTTTGGTTTCACCTTTATTGACTAGAATGTTCACTCACTCCTTCCTTGACTTCAGAGAAATCAGGTTCTTTTCCAACCCAGTTAGCTATTTTCCTGGGTCCTCATACTCTTCCTAATTCTTCAAGAATGTATATCTTCTCCAGTTCTGTCCTAACCTTTCTTCCCTATACTCTCTCTCTCGTATCTCATTCATTCCTGTGGCATTAACTATACAAATGACTCCAAAATTGACACTTCCAGCCATTTTCTCTCTGAACTCCAAAATCACATCTACAACCACATTTACACAAAATCTGCATATGAATACCTCGCTAGCACCTCAGACTCAACATATTCAAACCAAGGCTCAATTCAGTACTATGTGCTTGGAACCAGATATACTCAGTCTGTACTTTTCCCAGAACTTCTGGGTCCAGATCAATAGTGTGTCTGGAAAACTTTCATGGTCCAGGAGAGGAGTGGACTTAAAAATGCTACTTGGTTGATTTTTTACATGTTTATTACATATTATTCTCTGATTGTTAATATCGTTAATTAGAGAAGTTTGTATGTCTACTTCTGTAGAGAGCCCACGCCATTCTTCCAAGGTCACATTCACTGGAATACAGGAAGGGAGGTAGGGTTTTGCAAGTGAGAGAGGACTGAGCTAGGAAGATAACTGATCTAAGTTCTATTTGAATAGCTCTACAAAACCACATCCCCTTTAACAAAGAGTCAAATCACCCACATAAAGAGATAGAGTTAAGGAACAGAAACTGACTTTTGGTAACTCTATAGAGTACAGCACTTATTCAGTGCCATTTCTGCCTAAAATGCGCATGGGAAACTATTGGGATGAGTAAACCACTCCCAGATGACTGAATATCAGTGCTACCTGGAATTTAAATAGAAAATGAGAGGAAGTTGAATTAAATGCCCTCCGGTTCCCTCTAGTTCTGAATCTACTATTTCATCCAATCCGATCCAATTAATCCAACAAAGATTTACTAAGTACTTACTATGTGCAGGACATTGTGCTAAATCCTGGGGATATAAAGAGATGTGGTTCTATTCCCGTAACAAACATCCTAGTGAAGACACTCCTCTCAATGCAGGTCAGCAACTTCTCCACATGCAGATATAAAGATAAAATTAAAAAAAATTGTCTCTGACCTCTAGGAGCTTATATTCTACCAGTGAGATATAACATATAAATAAATGGATACTCGTTCATTTGAGGAGTGGGTATCAGAACTAAAAACTAAGGGGATCAGGAATGATTTCCCATAGGAGATCAATTAGTTGATCAACATTTATTGCCAAGCACTGAGTTAGGTGCACCAATTATGGTACACCAATACAAAAGTAAACAGTTACTGCCCTAGTGCATGAATTAACCCTTAAAGGAAGGAAGCTAGGGATTTCAAGAAGCAGAGATAAGGAAGAAGTGTATTCCAGGCATGGAAGATGACCCATGCCAATGGAAAAAGGCAAAGAAAACCTCTCATAGAGCTAGGCTCAGAAAGAGCCATGCAAGAGCATGACCAAGGAATCTTCTATGGATGATTTCTGGGAAAACACACAGACACACACACACAACCACAAAAAGGATGTCCTTGAATGATAATATATAGAGGGGTTTCTCTCTTCATTGGTGTAAGAAGTGCCCACAGTGTTGAAATCTTAGATCCATTAAAGTATCAATGTACTACCTTCAAGCAGAGGGCTTAATGGGAAGAGATATGAGCAATGCATGGGTAAAAGAAGGAGTTTCTGAATAACAAAGAATTGAGTGTGTGTGATGCAAAAACAGGGTAGCAAAATATATATTCATTGACTTAATTCTGTACCTATACCATTTATTTGCAGTCCTAATGTAATTCTCAGAACATAACTTTATAAGTTCTATAAAAAGCATAGATAGAACCATACCATTTATTTGTCTTGCTCATCTTTTACATGACAGTAGGGTCTAATATGGTCTGAAGAGGCCCTTTCTTACATTATTCACTCTTTTGTTATCGGGGTTTTTTTAAGATAATGAAAAACAAATTGCCTCAAATATGTCAGCTTGGCATTAGACTACAGCCCATTTAATGTGGCACTTCACAAAGTTCAATCCTGGCATTGTTTATGGATGAACTTTTAGTTCATTCTCATAAATCACATCTAAGCTAATCAAAATCCCAAATGGAAGTGGTCTGTCAGTTGTCACATAGCCTCAATTCCCAACTGAAATCTATCCATAACATACTGTGAATTTAATAAATTTATTCCAGGGCTGTCAGCCTAGGGTGCCTTTTCCAAAATCCATACCACTCCCTACACACACACAATGCCTATGTAGATAACAAAGTAGCTTAAATGAAGTCAGCAAAGCCAAATGACTCTCAAGATGTGTATGTACCCAGTATAATTGCTGAGTGAATCTGGACTTCATTTTACTGTCCTGGTTTAGCTACTGCCTGTAGAAACCCAGCTGGTGTTCTAGGAATAGCTCTGTCTTCCTTATGCATGGAGTAATTCTGTTGTTCTGACACTGATCAAGTCTCTCAGAAAGCAAGAGAGGGTGCCTGGCTCCATGCATCATAATTTCCTGTACAAGAGAAAACCCCTCCAAGCTCAAATACTTGGGACTCAACATACCTCTGGAGGACATAAAGAAAAACCTGGGTGAAGGGTCCCCCCAAGACTGCTGATGTTTTTGCTTGCTGCAGGCAAGGATTCCATCATGCCTGTCAGTTTTTCACAGAGCTGGACTTTATGTAATGAAGCACAATAATGCAATTACACAAGCAGCAAGTCACATGGGAAGAAATAGAGAGAGTAAATGGAAACCAAATTATGAAACAGCACAGTGAAACCAACCTACTAAGTTCAATATGACATAATAAGGATTGCAAAACCACTCAAACACAGTAAAAAAGGACATAGGCACAGAAAAAAAGGACATATGGTATGATTGGGGAGGGGTTACAACCTGAAGCAATGAGGGGTGTCAACAGTAATTAAAACTACTTGCACTCAAGAAATGTTCAGCTGAGGGCTCTGACAAAAACAAAATGGGGGGGGAGTAGAGGGGGGAGACCAAAACAAAGACTACCACGATACAAAGTACAAAGTACAAAGTCAGGGAGTTGAACCAGAAAAGGAAATGGTGCCTCAAAGGGACTGCCTGGGGAATCGAGCTAATTCTCTTCTAGTCATTTTGGGTAAAGGCCTCCTGTGCAGAGAAACCACTCCCAAAATGAAGAGGATTTGCCTCTGGAAAGACATTACAGAGAACACCCTTATGAACTTTGCACTCTCAAAGTAAATGTTTTGTTCAAAGTAAGTTAAAAAAAAAAAGATTGCTCCTGGCTAATTAATTCAGCAAGCAAAGCCCCGGTTTTAATTCCAAACCCAAAAGACTTTAACCTTTGGGGCTGAGTGGATAAAAATGTAGAATGACTTAAGCCTTTCTCTAAGTATGATAGACGAGTTTGTAATTTGAAGGCTAGAAAAGCCCTGTTTTTGTTTTTAAATGCTTAGATTTACTTTTTTCACTATTAAGTTCTGCATCTAATTAGGTTAAAAAAGCAGCATCTGCTTACTTTTCAGGATCTCAGTTTCCCCATCTGGATAATGACAAGGTTTGGCTAGGCAAGGGGTTCTTAAACTGTTTTTTATCATAATATAATCTATAATAACATAATATTTTTAAATAATCTAACAAAACTGCATTTCCATATGATGCTATATGTAATGCTATATATTTCATAATGCAATATATTTTATGCATTTACAAACATTATCCTGAGGAAGAGGCCAAAGGGGTCCATGATAAAAAAAAAATGTTAAGAACTCTTGGGTTAGATTATTTCTAAGGGCTCCTCCAGCTCTGTCATTCTGTGTATTTGTGTTGGTGCCTGATTACAAGCTTCATCGATTTATATGATGTTTGCAAATCATGTTTGTATTTATCTTGGCCAACACCATCTTTTCTTCTCTATGGAGATGATTCTGATTTATAGAAGGCATGTCAACAGGGTGTGATATACGGAAAATTCTGTCATGTTGAAAATGTTCAAGTATATTCCCTGGGTCCTGCCTCTAACACATATTGGCTATATGACCCTGAGAAAGTCTCTTAACTTTTCCATCCTTAAGACTCTAAGTTAAGGAATGGATGCTGATCAATACTGATAAAGTAGAGGTTCCCTAGACCAATGAAATCAGAGGTCTAGTGCCAAAAATAAATGTCTCCACGTCCATACTATGTGGCTGTGACCAATACAATAATGTGAAATACATGAGGGGTGACAATAAAGTGGTAAGATAGATGATTGATAGATTGATTGATTGATTGATTTCAGGGCCTTTCAGCTCTAACATTCTATTATTCTTTGATTCTATGCATAGTTATTACCAAAAACAATACATTGTTGGTGTAGCTTTCTATGCCTATTGTTACACACAGAGAATCTGTGTGGCAGAAATGTTTCAAAACCCTCTGACAATAATTTCAGGACCAATCAGGCAATCAGTATTTCTACATGGCACAAAATTGTTGATGCATTAGCTCCGGCCCTTTCCGTATTGTGAAAGCTATCCTTTCATTTTTTGCTATAACAATTGTTGACTTAAGCTTTCTGCTCTTTGAAACTGTAGCCCTTTGTCTCCTGAGATATCTGTAACCTTTGTTCAAAGTCATCCAGTGTCTCAGATGGGCTGCGTGTCAGATAGATATTTGAGCTTTTGATTCCTGTAGCCTACAGCTATACAATACTCTTTGCCCTGACTAGGGCCAACTAGGGTAAGAAGCATTGTGGATTGTAAGCAGGAAAGCACCATGATGCTTGTTGAGGATTTCCTGATTTGGGAGGAAAGCAAGGAAATGCTATAGCTAGAAAAATCCCGTGCAGGTAGGGTCCAAAAGGGTGGTCAAAAAAAGCCAGTCATTCACCAGAACCAGGTCATGGAGCTAAAGGGATTGAGGTGAAAAACAGTGTCTAGTAGTCGCATGATCAAAGTAGATCAACTAGATCTCAGGGGCTAGTGAGAAATGAAGTCCAGAGGCAGGGTGCCTGTGTTTGACTGTGAGATAGACAGTAGGGATTAAGTTTGACAAATTCTCTCATTTTGCTGCATTCAAAATCCTCTGGGTACATGGCGTTGTTGTTGTTGTTGTTGTTGTTGTTGTTGTTGTTTGTGTTTTTAGTCCAGGCTTCCCAAGGCTCACCCTACACCCTGGCTTTTTGAATTTGCCTCAACTGGATAGCTCTCACCACAAGTACCTCATTGTTCCTTAAAGCAATGGCCATCCCCCAAGTGAAGGTAAAAATGACTATATTACTTAGAATTGTGTGTCAGTGAGTCTTCATAGTTTCTCCCCTTGTCAGTTTTTGTGGGGATTGACCCCTTTTGGGTGATCCTAAGTCTAGAGTTATAGTAAGCATTACCTCAATCTAGACTCAATCATACTTCCCTTGCTTGCTGGGGATAATCTTTTGTGCCTTTAGATGTTCAAAAGGACTTAGGAAATAATGACAAAACTGCACAAAAAGTGCAGATGAAACTGTGACTTTTACAAGAAATCCAATTCTTAAACTCAGAAAATCTGAGTGGTCAGTGTTCTTTGAGTCAGTTTTTTTTTGAAGGTTTCAGGTTAGTTTCATTCTTTGATGACATGTTGGCATCATACTCTTTCTTTCCTTCAATTCCCATAAGACTTGCTGGCTTTCCTGATTGCAATTTGTACTTTTTTTACACAGTGTGTTGCCTATCCAGTGAAACTCAGTGATTGCTTTCAATTCTGTCACTAATGAAAATCTTTGACCACATGTAGGGTTGGTATATGACCTTAATAGTCTTCCATTTTATCATCAGCCCATAATGTAGCCAGCCTACAGTCTTTTATATAACTCTGTGTCTTCCTACATCTGTGTTTTGAAAGCATAGTCCCCAGCACATAGCATATCTTTAATAACAGTCTTGAGGACTTATCATAAAATCATAGAATCCTATAGGTAAGAAGGAATCTTAGAGGTCATCTAGTCCAACACCTTGTCAAGGAACAAATCTTTCAATGACCCTTGTGGATAGTTGAGTTGCAAGCACAGGATTCATTTGCAGGATCTGTTTGTCAGAAGCTATTGTTTCCCCACTTCCATAACCATTTTCATCTCAGCTAGACCTTTCTGATTATCTGCTTCCATCTGCAAGACTCAGGGAAACTAGGATTATTTCCGTACTCAAAAGGAATAATAAGCTCTAGGCCTGAGACAGGGAGCTGCCTTTGTAATCAAGATCCTGTTTTCTCACAGCTTCAAAGCCTGTGCATTTCCTTGTTCTTGGTCATTGACCTGGAGTTTGGATCATCTCTGTTCTGCCCTTTAACATAGTGTCCTCCTGGTTCCTGCCTCTCTACCTAGTTTCTGACACATTCCTTTAAGGTCCCTTCCAGTTCTTATGGATCCTATTTATGTATGTATAAAATCATAGATCCAGTGTTGGAAAGGATCTCAGAGGCCTTCAAGTCTAACATCCTAATTTTACAAATGAGGAAAATGAAGCCCAAAGAAGAGGAGAAATTTGCACAAGGTAACATGGGTATTGTCAGAGGAAGGATTTAAACTGATCTGGATGGTTTTCTCCTCCTTTCCCAGCTCCTATTCAGGAATACCACACCCCCTTACAGTTCCCTCTTCAATTCCTCCCCAAGCCAAAGCTCCTCAGAGTTAACAAGCTGCCTTTCCATCTGCCCTGCTACTGCCTATGAAAGCCTTCCAACACTTACCATATTCATTGTCTCTATACCCTACAGCCCAGGGCACTGTCATAGGACGTAGTGACAAAACCTAAGGATTGCTTACTAATTGAACCACAGATGTAACTTTAGGACTTACAAGCCTGCAGATGAATTAAAAATAACTCCAGAATGTAGAAAATATCTGAGAATTCACCAACCACACACAATTATATGAATGCGATTATAAAATAATCAACAGAAATAAAAGAAGATTTTAATAAGTAGAGAGATTAATAATTCTATGAAAGAGTTACACTGGCCTTTCTGCTGTCTCTAACGACAAGACAGTCTCCTGACAACATACCTTTTCACTGGCTGCCCTCTCCTTATGCCTGAAATGTTCCCTTTCCTCAACTCCACATTCTGGCTTCCTTGGTTTCCTTTAAGACTCAGCTGAATTTCTGCCTTCTGCAAAAGGTCTTTCTTAGTCTCATCTCCTACTATCACCCATACATTTTTAATGTATTTTTATTTATTTTGTTAAATATTTCTCAGTTACATGTAAACAATTTTTATCATTCATTTTTTTGGGGGGCAGCTGGGTGGTACAGTGGATAGAGCATCAGTCCTAGAGTCAGGAGGACCTGAGTTCAAATCTGGCCTCAGACACATAACACTTACTAGCTATGTGACCCTGGGGAAGTCACTTAACTGCATTGCCTACCTAAAAAAAATTTATTTTTTTAAAAATCATGAGTTCCAAATTCTCTTGCTTCCTCTTTCACCCCACCCTCAACCCAGAGAAGGCAACCAATATGCTATCAATTATACATATGAAGTCATGCAAAACATATTTCAATATTAGTCATGTTTTAAAAGAAAACACAAAAAAAAACAAGAAAAATTAGGTAGGAAATAAAAAGTATGCTTCATTCTGTACTCAGAGTTCATCAATTCTTTCTCTGGAGGTAGATAGCATTGTTCATTATGCATCCTTTGAATTTGTCTCGGATTACTGTCTTGATCTGAGTAACTCTTTACTTTCTTTTTTTTTCATGCAAAAAACTTCCACAGTATTCTCTCATTTGACCCTGTCCCTCCTCAGAAGTGTTTGCTTCTGATTACCCCCTCCCCCAATCTGCCCTCCCCTCTATCATCCCCCTGCTCTCTTGTCCCCTTCCCCCCTTATTTTCCTGTAGGGTAAGATAGATTTTCATACCCAATTGTGTATGTTATTCCCTCCTTAAGCCAAATCCTATGAGAATAAGATTCACTTATTCCCTCTCACCTTCCCCCATTTCCCCTCCACTGTAAAAGCCTTTTCTTGTCTGCTTCATGTGAGATAATTTATCCCATTCTACCTCTACCTTTCTCCTTCTCCCAGTATAATCCTCTTTCACCCCTTAATTTTATTTTCCAGGTATCACCCCTTCATCTTCAACTCACCCTGTGCCATCTATCTATCTATCTATCTATCTATCTATACATACATACATACATACATACATACATATAATTTTTTCCCTCCCACTACCCTAATACTGACAAAAGACTCATGAGTTGCAAATATCGTCTTTCCATGCAGGAATGTAAACAGTTCAACCTTAACAAGTCTCTTATGATTTCTCTTTCCTGTTTACCTCTTCACATTTCACTAGAGTCTTGTATTTGAAAGTTAAAGTTTTTTCTTCACCTCTGGTCTTTTCATCAAGAATGCTTGAAAGTCCCCTATTTCACTGAATGACCCTGAATGATTATACTCAGTTTTGCTGGGTAGGTAATTCTTGGTTGTAATCCTGTCTCCTGTGCCTTCTGGAATATTATATTCCATGCCCTCCAGTCTCTTAAGGTAGAAGCTGCTAAATCTTGTGTTATCCTGATTGTGTTTTCACAATACTTGAATTGTTTCTTTCTGGCTGCTTGCAATATTTTCTCCTTGATCTGGGAATTCTGGAATTTGGTTGTGGTGATTGGTTGATTCTTTCAATTTCTATTTTGCCCTCTGGTTCTAAAATATCAGGCAGTTTTCCTTGATAATTTCTTGGAAGATGATGTCTAGGCTCTTTTTTTTTTTATTATGGCTTTCAGATAGTCCAATAATTTTTAAATTATCTCTCCTGGATTTATCTTTCAGGTCAGTTGTTTTTCCAGTGAGATACTTCACATTCTCTTCTATTTTTTTCATTCTTTTGGATTTGTTTTATACTGTCTTGATTTCTCATAGTCACTAGCTTCCGATTGCTCCATTCTAATTTTTAAGGAAGTATTTTCTTAAGTAAGCTTTTGGATTTCCTTTTCCATTTGATCAATTTTGCTTTTTAGGCATTCTTCTCCTCATCAGCTTTTCGGACCTCTTTTGCCATTTGGGTTAGACTATTTTTTAAGGTATTATTTTCTTCAGTATTTTTTTGGTTCTCCTTTAGCAAGCTGTTGACTTGTTTTTCATGATTTTCTTGCATCACTCTCAGTTTTTCCTCTACTTCTCTTACTGGCTTCTCAAAATCCTTTTTGAGCTCTTCCATGGCCTGGGACCAATTCATATTTTTCTTGGAGGCTTTGGATGTAGGAGCTTTGACCTTGTTGTCTTCTGGTTGTATGTTTTGATCTTCTTTGTCACCAAAGTAAGATAATATAGTCTGATTCTTTTTGCACTTCTTGCTCACGATCTCAGCCAATTACTTGAGTTATAATCTCTTTGTTAAGATAGGGGTCTGTTTCCAGTGTGAAGAATGTACTGTCCCAAGCTTTGGGGGTCTGTGCAGCTGTTTTCAGAGATACTTGTAGGGCCCTGTAAATTTTCAGTTCTTCCAAGGTGCTATGATCAAGGGCGAGGTGTTTACTCCTTTCCTGTCCTGTGCTCTGGTCTATGAGTGACCACAAGCACTGTTTTCTGTCTTGGAACTGTGAGGAGGATTTACTCTTCACCACCACTACAAGCTGCACTGCGCCTCGGGACCATCACCCAGAACTGTGACCCAGATCCAAGCACAGGTAAAGCAAGAGAATCCTGCACCAGCAAAGAGATCTGTGCAATCCCCCCTCTGATCAGCCTTCTCATTCTGCTCACTTTACTTTGCATAACATTAAAGTAGTAGTGGTCATTGTAATAGTAGTGGTTATATACACAGGTTTTTCTGAAACACATCTGTTTTTCATCACAATCACATACCACAACTTGTTCAGTCATTCCTCAATTGATGGGCATCATCTCGATTTCCAATTCTTTGCCACAGCAAAAAGAACTTCTATAAATATCTTTGTACAATTAGGTCCTTTTCCCTTTTCTTTGATATCTTTGGAATATAGACCTGGTAGTTGGGTCAAAGGGTATGCACAGTTTGCTAGCTATTGAATGTAGTTACAAGTTGTTCTCCAGAATGGGTGGACTAGTTCACAACTCCACCAATAATTCATTAGTGTCTCAATTTTTCCACAATTGTCATTTTCCTTTTCTGTCATATTAGCCAATCTGATAGTTGTTAAATAGAATCTCAAAGTTGTTTTAATTTGCATTTCTCTAATCAATAGTGATTTAGAGCGTTTTTTCATGTGACTATTGGTAGCTTTGATTTCTTCTTCTGAAAACTGCCTTTTCATATCCTTGAAATATTTATCAACTGGAGAATGGCACTAAACCCTCTTTGCCTCAGTTTCCCCATCTATAAAATGAGCTGGAGAAGGTAATATCAATACTAAACATATATGCACCAAATGGCAGAATATCAAAATTGATATACTTCAGTTCCTCCAGAAATATGTCTGTTCATTTGCATTGCATGAGGAACTTACATTTAGAGTACCAACTGATAAATTAATGTTTATTCCATAGTCTGGAAACCATATGATCTTTATTATACTCTTGCCCCTCTTTTTTCTTTTTTCCTTTTTTTTTTTTGTAATTGGGGTTAAGTGACTTGCCCAGGGTCACACAGCTAGTAAGTGTCAGATGTTTGGTCTGAGGCCAGATTTGAACTCAGGCCCTCCTGACTTCAGGACTGGTGCTCTATCCACTGTGCCACCTAGCTGCCCCTTGCCCCTCTTTTTTTCACTCTGATATCATCTCTGCTGAAGCCAAAGAGGGCTATACAAGGCTGATTATCATTTGCTTCATGGCTTGTCATGGCTAAACTCAATCACTACGTGACCAGCCTGGTTACTCAGAAAGTAAGCAGAATCTGTGTTGGAACTGTCCTCAAAGCCTTTCTATCATGGTAGAACTTGTATAGCTCTTGAGAACCCAAGGTCATCTCCTTACCATGATGAGGCATCAAAGAAGGACTTTGTGGAGAATTCTCAAAGTATCCAACTTTACTGTACTATATCATACTGCTGTCTATACATACGTTTTATGATTACATTATTGTAGAATAACCAGCACCAGCCTTTGGACAAAGACTTTTCACCAAGAGAGAGAAACATGGAACCACTAGTTACTAGTTAATTTTCAAAATACTAAGGATAATACTATTATTCTTGTTTTTCTTCTCAGATTTCCTCAGTTATCTAAAGTAACAATTCAATCTCTGCCCAACACATTTCTCTTAACACTTGACATTTTTAGTAGAATATCATATCTAGGAGCTTTGAATCTCTAAAGTATGTAGTATTTTTAAAAGTTAGTCCAACAACCATAACATGGTCTATACTTCATCTGTGATGGGTGGAGTCACCTTAAAGAAGTTCTGAACTGTGACTGCTTCTCAGGATTCCCACCTAGTTTACCGAGAGCATGAACCCATCCCTACTCTCCCATAACGCAAAGATAGTTTTGTACAGGCCCAAGCACACACTAAACTCCTTGAGGGCAGGGCCTGTTTAGTTTTTTTGTTATTTCATCCTCATTGCCTAGTCACAGCACAAATACCAGGCACTTACTAAATGCTGGAATGAAGGAATGAAGGAATGAATGAACAAACAAACGAATGAATGAATGAGAGTCTTGGTTTGGATGGCAGCCCATAAATCCCTCCCTCTTTTTACTTTGGTTTCACATAACATAAGTATAGGACCATGTGTTAAATGAAGTGCAATAAACATACACCACATTTATTCCCATTAGAGCATATTTATTGTAAAGCATGAAAATGAAAATCAAACATTGATTTTGAAACATTTTTTTTCAGTTTTAAAGGTGCTGTGTGTGAAATGAGCTATTTCTAAGGTAACAGATGAAATGGTTTCATGAAATTGCCAGAATGATTCACTGAAACAAGATCAGACCTAAATAGCTGTAAGATTGATGGCATATGTTGAAGACTTGGCTGTCTCTGCCGAGAATTACAGCCTCATTAGACATTAGCAATAAACATTTTGATAACCACTAATACGGGAATGATATTTTATTTGGGCAAAAGCAAGCATTTACTGGAGATACTAAAGCTTCTATATTTTAAAGTTATTATTTGGAAATGTTCATCTATAATTCTCCCCTCTGCAGGCAAAATCTTATACTTCATTCCAAAAAGGTCTACAGGTCATTAATGTGCTACAAAAAGTTTCAATCTCCCACTGGGCCTTTATCATGTTTATTGGACAACTTATCATAAGGGAGTTAGTAGACAGTTTTTCTCATGGCTTGTGACATGTTTTTATTGCAGTTATATTTACCAAAATTAATCTGGGTGTTCACAAGAAGGAAACTCCTAAAGGAATTCATCATTTGAATTCCCATTAGAAATACCTTCTGGAGAAAATAGGACAAGAATGACTGGGAAGTCCCCCCAAAGGACTACAGCTGCCATTAGCAACAAGCTGTCCATCCATGTGATAAGAAGCCCACAATTTAAAAAAAAAAAAAGAGGAACAGTACCATTGGTTTGAATTTATTTCTCTGTAGGACATCAGTGAAAGGAGCAGACTTACTAAAAGCACATCGCCACCATAGAAAGTCATCCAACTGTTGAATAGGATAGAGCACAGAGAAATCTACTATCTTGAGGAGAAGATAACTGACATCAAAATAAGATTGAACGTCCTTGTAATAAATTTGGAATTATGAAAAAGAGCTTAAGCTACTTGAGGTCAGAAATGAGATTAAAGCTGCTTTGTTTCATCATATAATACTATTAGACACAAGTACCCTGCTTAGACCTTGGGTAACCTGGTTAGACCTCCCTTAATGAAAGTCAGGAGTTCCCTCAGTTCAACAGGAGATTGAGCTAATAAGTTTAAAAGTCATGTGCTCGTGTAGCACATACAAACTCTGAGAGGCCCTTAACCCAACTCCCACTTGCATTAACAAGCTGAATTCCCAGAGGGTGATTACATCTCCCCCTCAGGCTTCTAAGGGAATCCTGAAGAGTTGTGGTGATTCTCTTAATAATATTTTGCCCTGAGCCCCTATTCTTATGTGTTTTCCTCAAAGTTTATTGCTAGTGATTACTGACCTACAGGGACTGCCTTTTCCCCAGCTGAAGACTTACAACAGATCTTTCTTGATCACCACCCAGCAAAAGACAGATTGAGTTCCTCCTCAAGAGACTGAGCCTTTTGTATATACACTTTTGGCTCAACAGCCAATTAAAGGTTTTCAATCACTGCAAGATAAACTGACAGGAAATTCTCACAGAATATTTGTGAATGCTCTGAAGGCAGAGCACTCTAATCTTTACTCCCAGAAGCATCCCACATGAATTGGCAGTAGGCAAAGCACATTATGCATATTTGAAGTACTGGCCCCTATTTCCAGTTCCATATTATACTCACACAACCCAAGGAGTAGGGGAGCAGCATGCCAAATAACAGGGTATATCTTTCTGTCTCAAACTGCTATTTTCTTCCACATAACTTGGACAGATGGAATCTTTTCCTTTTTCTCTTTTCCTGAGTTCTCAACTCCAAATTTGAACATTACTCTTTCTATGACCCCCAGATAAAAAGTCTTTTCCATTTCCATAGGTACTTCCAACGTCCTCAGTTTGCCTGGCAATATTCACCAAATGGCAAGCCAGGAGGCAAAGATTTACATTCACTTAACTGACCATCTGATTGTCCCTACTGAAATTTAGCTTAGCCAGTCCACCTCACCGAAAGTAAAAATAGGTAAGGGGGGTATTGTGTGAATAATTTGAGAATTTGAAGTGATCTTCTGCCTTATAAGTGACATTCACATATGTTTTGAAAGTCCAGAGCAAATGGTCTTACATGTTCACCTTGTCCTTTTTCCTTGTTATTTTGGGGAGGTAATTATTAATGGAAGTCAATATAGTTCACACCCCCAGATCAAGGAAGAGATCTTTTTCATTTCTGAATTACTCAGTAATGACTGCCTCCTCTGCTCTACAGTATATTTCATTAGGTCTCAGTCACTTTGGTTGCCACTATCTATACCCTTCATAACAGAATGCAATAAAATTAGTTTATCTATAGACAAAGCCCATCATCAAACTATAAACAGTTTATAAAACATTTAAATAAGACTTATAAGCACAGGAAACTCCAAAAGGTAAATGATGACAGTGATATGTTAGGGAAAAGAAGGAAATGGAAATTGAACTTTTATTTTTTTCAAATCTAAGCAGTGCCATGAGGATGCACAGTTAGGCAGCATCAATTTCTGTCCAAATAGATCACCCCATAAGTGGATCAGCAACAAAGAGAAGTCTGCAGTTGCTCACAATTATAATTAGTCTAGGGTAGAAGTATCATTATCAGATCAATTCCCCTACTTGCGCACAACTACACCCCATGCTTCCGGACTACAAACATTTCCCTATTCCTAGACTCTCTTTCTCCCATGCTGATCTTGTGGCCCTTAAATAATTTTTTTTTCTTTAGGGAAACTACACTTAACAGTCCATGTGTCTGTACACAAATCCAACTTTTGTTTTTTTGAGAGTGCCATCTAAACTGTTTTCCGTATTCCACTTTTCTATGTCATAAAATCCCAATGAGACAAATATTTTTGAGGACAAGTACCATGTTTTGTAATTCTTTGAATCCCTCACAGTGTTAGGTATAACAGATTTCTATGTATGTTCTATACTATATGCATACAGATATGTGAATGTCTGTATGCATATAATATACAACATATGTATATAATATCTGTATATATGTATATATTTGGTACAGAAGATAAATGTTATGTCTTCTGTACCAAACATTTTGATGGATTAGTGTGTGTGTGTGTGTGTGTGTGTGTGTGTGTGTGTGTGTGTGATAATCATCTTGGGTTAAAGTTTAAGTATTTTACTCATGCAAATAGAATCTTTGTTTACTAGAGAATAATAGAGTCCAGTAGGACCCCAGAAGGAGAATATTCTAAGCCAAAGCAATTACTTCTCTGCCTCAGGGAAAGTATAAACCAGCAAGCTTGCTTTTATAAAAAATAGCTCTGATTCTTTGTAAAAATCACATCTGGTCTGAGATATGATTTAGAGATATCTAGCAGGGAGAGAGCAACAGTAAAGGAGGTGAAGCAAGAGACAAGATGAAAAACATGGACAGTGAGACCTACATAGTAAAACTCTATTTCTTTGGTTGGAATGTTGTGAAATCCCATAATACCAGACAAACTCATATTTCAGCACAGAATATTTTCCAAAGCCTAAAGTGATTTTTTTATTATCTCATTTTAGATTGTCCCAATGTTCCCCATTAGTGTAGATGAAAGTTTACCTTATTAAAGAATAATATGTTGTTCTACTTCCTGTCAATTTTTTCTTATAAATATTATTACATTCTATTTAGTGAGATAAATATTTGTAAAGCTTCTCCCTAAGAACAAATTCATGTTTCAAATCATTAGGGCATCACTACAATGATACTTAACTAAACAGCATTGTAGTAGCCTGGGGGATTTATGCAGCTTCTGAAAGTGCCTCTACTCTTACAGAGTAGTTGATACACAGGCAGAATCTGGCTCAGCATATCCAAATTCCAAAGAGAAGTCAACTTTCACTGTTACACAGGGGAGGAGAGCTCTTACCTATCTGTCTGGCAGAAGCACTACTCATCAATTATCCTTACATACTTTTCAAATACAAAATGTGATGTACAATGTACTTTTCAGTCCTATATTTCTGGTACTCACACTTGGGGAAAGGTGGAGATGGAATGGAATGACTAGAGGAAAGACAGCAAAATGTGCTATCCTTCAGAAATGATGACAAGATTCTACTCAGATTGGGTAAATAAGGTGAGAGTAGCAGCCTCCCAATCTGCTGGGTACCAGACACATTTTGCTTCTTCTTTTCTGAAGAATTATTCTTAGTATTCTATGCAAAGCCGTGAATAGAAAAAGGGGTTCAATTTAGAGTAAAAAGAGAAAAGGTGAAAGGGAAGTTGATACCTTCTAAATAAAATAAAATATACATTTTAAAATAATAAAATACATGAAATTTATTTATACACAAGGACAGAAGCTGAAGTCCTAACCTAAGATATAAGAATCAACCAAAAATTTGTGTTACTGAAGTTCTTTTTTTTTTAATTGATCAGGTTCTGCCGTCAACACAACACTAAACACACGGAAACGACTGAAGATTTGAAAGAATAAATCATGACTTAGAGTAACTTCTGTTGAGGAAACAAATTATTTAATCAATGCATTTACATAATCCAGCCAGGCTAAGATATTAATTCAAATTCTACTACTTTGTTTCTTCTCCTACAATATTAACACTTTGTACTTTCACACCTCTGGTTATTCACAGGAGAAGAAAGTTCATCTGAGAAAAACTATTTAATTGAATTCAACAAAGAAGTATCCAGTCCCTACTGATTTTTTAAATATTATTTTAAGATCTACAAATCACTTTACATTCACTGGACCCTCACAGCAACTCTATGAGGTCAGTACCATGGGTATTATTACAATAACAAATCCTAATAAACAAGCATCCACTAAATGCCTACTATGTGCCAGGAACTGTTCTAGGGCTTTGTAAATACTATCTCGCTTGAGACTTACAGCATTCCTGGGAAGTAGAGTTGAGGAAACAGGCAGAAAAAGGTTAAGTAACTTGTCCAAAGTCACACAGCTCATGTCTGAGGCTGGATTTGAATGGAGATCTTTCTGAAACCAGGCCCAGCACTTTACTTTGTCCACTGTTCCATCTAGCTCCCTCTATTATCACCATTTTACAAGTAACGCAGTCTAGTCTATGTGCAAGGCAACTGTAGCACTACTTGACATGTGGAAGAAACTAAAAAACCTACATCCAGGCAGATCATGATGACATGTAATGGAAGTATCTTAGAGAAATTTGAGCATGTATCAAAATCATTCTGTAACTTGTTCTGGTCTGCTAATCACATGGTTAGGAAAAGCCTTTTCATTTGACTGGGGAATACGATTTTGGGGTTCCTTCAAAATAGTACTAGTAACAGGAGACTGGGCAATTCTATTTGGCACTCTTTTCTTGATTTGACACCTTCACCAATGGTAGCTGGTGAAAGACAATGCTTAAGGGGAGAGACCTTGGGCCTTTTCCCTGATAAGGTAATGTTCCCCCCTGAAAATGTGCCTCAGTTATTTGCTTATCTCTGCGTTAGTTTTTAGCTATTTTAGGAGAAGGAACTGAAAACTAATTGTGAGTTTTCAAAGGTCAGGAGAGTGAGTATGAGTGTCCTGGTGTCCCAGTGTCCCAGCATCTGGGTTTTGCAGCCTGCCCAACATCAGTGGCTTGAGGAATGTATAAGCTGCCTTCAGGACCAAGACTAGTGGTATCTGAGATAAGAACTCATGCCCTTATTTAACCATAAATATATTTGGTGGGACCAACACTATAAAGAAACTGTGCAAAGAATGAGCCACTCTCCACAGAGTTTTAGGCAGAATAGGGGAGAGTATGCTCCATAGGTATCACAGGAAAATATTTGTATTACTTTTGTACTTGTTACATCTTCAAAGTAAATATCCCTTGGTTAAAAAGCTAATTGATGCTAGGGAGTATTAAATGGTAGTTAAACTGAACAGGGACCCTTGTCACTGGCACCTACAAGTCGGGGAAACATGGCCAGTGGGGACTTGAGCAAATAGCAGTAAAGAAGAGATATTACCAAATCCCTCAGGAAAGCTCTAGAGCCCTAAAGGGAAGATATAGCTGCTTGATTCTGCAAGAGTGGGCCAAATCATGTGTGCCAGAAACAGATGAGGGAAAAAAGTCATTGAGGTGACTTGCCCATGGGCCAGACAGCTATTAAGTGACAGAGATGGGATTTGTACACATTTCTTTCTACTCCAGATCAGGCACTTTGTACAACCCACCATCAGAGAACTGTAAGGTACTAAGGGAAATACAAAGTTTAGCTAACACTTGGTGCTTGTTTTCTTGGAGCTTATCAACTAGTAAAAGTATGATGTTACATACTCAGATACCTCTGGCACAAACTAATTAGATGACAAGGGAATTACAAGGGTTGCAATGTAAAATCTGAGAGGGATCAGTCATTTCTGAGAGGGGAAGAACAAAAGAAACTGAGTGGGGTAGATGGCATGTGTGTTGGGCTTTAAAGGACAGATAGAAATTCAATAGATAAAAGGAAGGAGGACATTCCAGGCATAAGGAAAAGCATGAACAAATGCTCAGAAATGGGAAAGTACAAAGAATGTCCAGAAGCCAGAGAAAAGTCCAATTTTATTAGATCCCAAAGTTGAATGGAAGAAGAATGAGATAAGGCTGAAAAAAAAATAACTCCATTTTGTAGAATGTTATAACTGGGAAGAACCCATGGAAAGAGAATGAAAGAAGACCTAAAATATATCCTTAGGGAACATCCACATTAAGGACTCTATAATTAAGATGACTATAACAAAAGGAAATGAAATTGCCTTTGGTTATAGTCATATTAAAAATAGATCAGATACAAGATGCAAAAGAAGCATAAAAAGGTAAACAGGAAAGAGAAATCATAAGGGATTTGATAAGGTTAAACTGTTTATATTCCTACATGGGAAAATTATATTTATAACTCCTAAAAACTTTCTTGTTATTAGGGCAGTTAAAAAGAGTATACATAGACAGAAAGCAGAGGTGTGAGTTGAAAGTGATGGTATGATTATCTAAAAAAATAAAATTAAGAGATGAGAAGGAAAAATTCAGTGGAAGAAGGAAAATGGGAGAGTTAAAATGGGATAGATTATCTGACATAAAAGAGACTCAGCTGAAAGAGATTTTACAGTGGAGGGGGGAAATGGGGGAAGTGGAGAGGAGAGCACATGAACCTTACTCTCATAGGAATTGGCTCAAAGAGGGACTAATATACACCTCAGCTGGGTGTAGAAATCCATCTTACAGATGGGGTATAAATTTGGAATTCAAAAACTTGTGGGAGTGAATGTTGAAAGCTAAAAATAAGTAAATTTATATTTAAAAAAAGAATAATACAATAAAACATAAAAAAGAAAAAAAAAAGAAATCCATCTTACCATATGGGAAAGTAGGAAGGGAAGGGGATAAAAGGACCGGGGCAGGGGGGAGAGGAAGGGACCTGATAGAAAGGAGTGTAATTTGGGGTGGTAAAAGACAGGGTAAAAGGAGAGAGAGAGAGAAAGAGAGAGAAAGAGAGAGAGAGACAGAGAGTCAGAAAGAGACCAGGATAAACAGGGAAAATAGGATGGAGGGAAATATATAGTTGGCAATCATTACTGTGAAAAAATGTTTACAGTGATTTTTTTTATAAAAATTTCATTTCTCAGACATACAGAAAAATGAATCAAATTTATAGAAATAAGAGCCCTTCCTCAACTGATAAATGGTCAAAGGATATGAACAGGCAGTTTTCAGACAAAGTAATCAAACTATCTACAGTCATATGAAAAAAATGCTCTAAATAACCACTTAACCCCATTGCCTAGCTAAAAAAAAAAATTATTGATGAGAGAAATTCAAATTAAAATAACTCTGAGCTACTGCCTCACACCTCTCAGATTGTCTAATATGACAGAAAAGGAAAATGACAAATTGTTGGAGGGGATGTGGGAAAATTAAATACTAATGTACTGTTGGTGAAGCTGTATATTGATTCAACCATTCTGGAGAGCAATTTGGAACTATATCCAAAAGGCTATAAAACCATGCATACCCTTTGACCAAGCAATACCACTACTAGGTCTGTACCCTAAAGAGATAAAAACAAAAAGGAAAAGAACCTATGTGAACAAAAATATTTATAGCAGCTCTTTTAGTGGTGGAAAAGAATTGGAAATTGAAGGGATGTACATCAATTGGGGAATGGCTGAACAAGTTATATATGATTGTGATGGAATACTATTGTGTTTTAAGAAGTGACGAGCAGGATGCTCTCAAATAAACATGAAAAAACATGGAAAGACTTACGTGAACTGATGAAAAGTGAAATGAACAGAGCCTGAAGAACACTGTGAATTGTAACAGCAATATTGTATCTACTATGAATAACAACTATTCTCAGCAACACAATGATTGTAGGACCTTTGATGAAAGGTGCTATCCATCTCCAGGGAAAGAACTGGCAGAGTCTCAGTATAAATCAAAGATACTTTTTCTTTACTTTCTTTATTTTTCTTGGGCTTTTTGTCTGTTTTCTTTCAGAGAATGACTTACATGGAGGTGTGTTTTTCATAACTACACATGTATATTCAAATTGTTTGCCTTCTCAATGAGGCAGTGAGGGGAGGGAGGGAGAGAATTTGTAACTCAAAATTTGAAAAACAAAATTGTTTTTATGTGTAATTGGGAAAAATAGAATATTCAATGAGAGGAAAAAAAGGAAAAAATACACATGGTCTGTCTGAGCATGAGTAAAATAAGCTAATACTGAAATTTTACTCAAGCTAATCTATCAAATGTCTTGATATTCCCAGAGATGTGAAATCAGTGCTTATACTTTCCTACCAGAGGGATCCTCATATAAACAGATTACAAAAAGAATTTCCACTGTACAAATACATTATAAGCAAATTTTCCAGTTTATTTCATTTTGCCTAGGATCACCTGTAGTCTTAATCCCAATTTACTGAAGAATGGATTTATCATCATCTTTCTCAGCTTTGTACAATTCCTTACAAACTCATCATCTTCCCACCTACTTTTCCTGCTGACTTTTCTTTTTTGTCTTTTAAGAGCTCCACGGTTACCCATAATCAAATTCAGTTATTTTTTACTCATCTCTTTCTCTCTCTTGTGCTCCCTGGAATCCTTGAACATAGCATCATACGTTTGCAGTCAGAAAGTGCCTCAGAAGTCATCTACTATAAACCTTTATTTTATAAAATATGATATCAGATCCTGGAAAGATTAAGTGACTGGGCCAAATTCACAAAATCCGTTGATCAACAAATATTTGTTAAGCACTTACTATATGCCAGGTGCTATGTTAGGTGCCAGAGATACCAAGACAAAAGTTAAAGAGCCCCTGCCCTCAAGGAATTTATATTCTAACCAAGGGGGACAACACATACCCCATGAAGATTCATACAAGGTGGGTACAAGGTGATTGGAATGGGGTGAAGATTGGGGAGGGGGCACCAGCAAATAACAGAGGTAGAATGTGAATTCTGGTCCTTGGAAGCCAAAAGCTCTCCACTACTTCTCCAGGGACTATTGACTCTACTTCATGACAACAATCAAATCTGTCCCCTCCCCTCTTTTCCCATTAATACTACACTAGTTGAGACTCATTCTTTCGCACCTTCATTACAATCTTCTAAATGTTCTCCTGGCTTTCAATGTCTCACTCCTCCCTCCACCATTTTACTTGACATAATGTTTCCTAGAATGATAGCATTCCTGAAATACAGCTCTGATCACATCAAACCCTTGCTTAGACTCCTCCATTGGCTCCCCAAAACCTACCAAATAAATCCCAT